TTGGGTTTGGTCTTTAGACCTGTTTATGTCTGACTAGGAATGACAAAGATGTAAATGATGAGTTGAGGGGAAGCACATATAGTTGGATCACTTTGGTTTCCTTTGTTCAACAAGCTCAAACAAATAAGATTTATGAAGAAGATTGATTCTTTGGCTAACATAATATCCCACGGTTATTTCATCATGCTTGTAAAGAACTTGAACTACAAATGAAACCCATCCGTTTCAGCATCAGACAATGAATTTTGGGAATGTGATTCCTCAATGGGTAGATATCCCTCAAGCCCTATTCTGAATTAAAGTAGCTCTTTGGTTTTCCATGTTCAAAGATGACATGATCTCAGTGGTGGCTTTAATGTCATACCATTGACTTCTCAACCTTTTTAGGTTTTTTTTTTTAAATTATTTTTGGGAAGCAATCAATTTTGACAACTAGCAAAAACCCACTAAGTTTAGAAGGACCTCAGAAGGCTATTCATTTATGTCACCTTTGTTACATGCATGACAACCTGTCATGTCTCTCTCTCTCCTCTCCACCTCTTCTTCTTAGCATTAGTTGAGCATTCAAGTTTGCAACCTTTTTCTTTTGCCTAGTTGAGCATTGCATTCATTCATTCACTCACTTTGTTAGGTCTTGGAGCATTGAAAGAGCCTCTTCGCAGGTTCCATCCACATCCAGTCATATGCTTGTCTCTTGTAATTCAAGAAACCTGCCTAAGACCTTAACTAACTATCATCCTATATTTTGATTATGACACTTAATCAATTAATTAGGGTTCAATTAACGGGAGTCTATAAACATTAATTACAAATAATCAAAATGCTATTAAAAAAATGTTTTAACCTCTTTTTTTTTGTAAATGTCACTTTAACTGGTGTCACTAGACATCTATATACATTTCCCATTAATTAAATCCTGAAGTATTTTTTTTATTAGCTTCTGACAATATATAACCAATATTGATAGTTGACATTATAGTATTCATATGGCCTCAAATCAATATACTTAAATTTCAAAGTCATCGAAGTCAAATTTTCAAACCGAAAACTCTCTTAAAATATAAAGTAGAGATCGAAATTATTATTACAAATGAGGCAAGAAAATGATAGGAATAATTTAGAAAAAAAATCCCAGTTGGTTTAAGTAATTGTTTCCATTTAGAAGGAGGGACCCTTCTTAAAGGGGAGAGGGCTCTATCTTTTAGATGCAAAAGTCACATTCCTTCACTACAAGAGAACATGCTCAAGGGACCCAAGACAGTGGATCCTTTTTTTAATTTAACTCCTTTTGAGACCACATTTATGTTTCCAGCTTGTTTCCCATGTAGAAAGAGAAAGAGGGAGAGAGGGGTTTTAATTACAGTAAGTGGGAGAATCATTAAGTAAAGAATCCCCTACGGCACCTTTTGTGGGGTTTTGGACTCTCTTTTGTAACCCTAAATTTGCTACACTTTCTGGGGCAAGTCAACACAAAAGTATAAAGCAGGCTTTCCCAAGGGAACATCCCCCCTCCTAATTGTGTCCCTAAATCTCCGATTAGGGGCTATGGATTAACTAAAAGGACATCATAACATAAGCTTAACTTGTATTTATTATAACTTAGCAAGTTTATTTCCATTTCGTTTTCTTAAATTGCTTATTTTCAAGACAGCACCCAGGATATCGATATTATACAAAAAAAAAATATTAAAACTCATTATTATGTATCGAAAAATTATATATGATATGTATGTATGTATGTATGTATGTATGTATTATAAAAATAATTTAATAAGAAATTGGATGGAACAAATTTACCACAGTGGAATGACTGACTCAATGATTGATCAAAAACCCTTTTGATTTTATCTGGTTGTATTAAAGGTCAGCATATCTCTATGGCTAAGCCTGTGAGGTGTCGGTGGGGACTCACCATTTGGATTTTTTCAGTGCATGTGACAAGGATTTGACATGAACAAGAGGGCTCCGCAAATTTTTAAATTCACCTTGGATTTTTTTGTGTAATTGTTGGCATGTACTAACACTATAAAACTGCTTTCATAATACCAAAAATTTCCTTGGCAAAGACCATGGGTATCTCCCAAAAATATTGTTGGCTTTTGGGTCCATCAAAACCCCACTTGATGTCTTTAACCTAGTGCAATTGCATGCCCTTTGATTTTGCAATTGTGAGTAATGAGTGAATCCATGGTCCAAATGCCATGAGTGGCCATTATTTGGAAACCACCCATCTCTGTCCTCAATCATGATAATGACCCTAGCCCTCTTTTTTTGTCCCAATTCGAAGAATAGTGAAATCAAGCTATTAGGGTTGGGTTTTTAATTAATTACTTTTCAAGCTAATGCTAACTTAATTCAATCTTAAATCTCTTATTATTCGAATCCCTCAAATATAAATTAAACTAAAGTTATTATTTGATCATATGAAAAGAGATTGACAGAAAACATGGGTTGATAGTGAGTATGATAGAAATCAATTTTTCATTAAATTTAAGAATTTATTTAACTTAAAATAAAAATTTTAAAAATTCTTTTAAATGTAATAAAATAAATATATATTAATATTTTTTTCGAGTTTAAGTCTAAATTACGAAAACATGGTAGTTGTAACTTGCTTTAGACTCAAAGTTTCAAGTTATTACTACTAAAAGGATTTGCGCCATAATCAAAATACATTCACCCAAATTTCCTAATTAATCTGTTCAATTAGGTAGCAGTAGGTTACCCAATATTAAAAATGGCTTTTTCTTAAAAGAAAAGAAGAAAACTATGTCAAATTCATATTGCAACTTTTGTTAACATTTCTTTTTCCTTAACCCATAGATAGGATTTTTTGTGAGATTACGTAATTTCATCAAAGACAATCTTGTGTATATATGTTGCTAATGCAATAATATACATAATTTTGAAATATTTAGGATTTTTTTTATTAATATAAATAAATGGGAAAGTAATTATAGTGATTGATACCCAACCTAAAAGCTTTAAAAAAGTTGAAAAATGAGTTTACATGAAGGACAAAAAACAGTGAACAACTTCACTATGCATTCAGCAGTTCTAGTGCATGACATAATGACTTGCAACCTAAAGTTGTGATAAATCATATTCAATTCCCTCTTCAAATTGGGTATGCAAATTAAAGTCTTCTTTTTTCCAAAGGATAGTTGAGCACTTTTGAGTTTGAGATTTTTCAATTATTATGAAATTTAAAGTTAAAATCTAATTTAAAAGTAAAAATTAAAACCTTCTTAATTTAAATTAAATTGATCTCGAGTTTAAGGTCTCGTGAACATAAATTCCGAGAAAATTTTAAAGTGTTTTGAAGATATTTTGATTTTTTCGATCGTTTTATATGGGTATTTTAGATGTGATCAATACGGTTGAATGTCGTTTTAAAATAATTAATTATAACAAAAACGTCTTAGAAATTATAATCTCACACAAAGTAGACATGATGAGGCAATCCCCACCATTGGATCTATCCATCATAATGGGGCCAAGCAAAAATTTATTTCCTGCCTAAGTCAAAAAAGTGCTTCCCCCTCATAGATTGTTGCTTACTGGTAATCTACTTATCCTGAAAGTGACTTCAACATAATCCACAAAGACAAAGCCAAAGAATAAATTATTGAAAAGAATTGTTGAATCGATTCAATTAGGAATCAAAAGAAGAACCTTTTGTTTTGGGTAAAACCAAAAGAGAGTAGTCAGTCTCTATATGCTTTGCAGCAACAAGTTTTGGGATTTTCTACCCTTTCCCTCTGAAAACTTTAGCCAATGCCCAACATTTTTCCCTTTGTCTTAATATTTAGCCAACCCCCAAGACCCAAGTTGGATGAACACATCTACCTCCTTTATATTTGCAACAAGTTGCATGTTGTGTATTAAGTGCAAAAATTATTAGGTAAGACCCTTTGTTTTCATCACCCTTTTACTCTTTACCATTAAAGAAAAAGGGTTTGCTTTGGTGACATACTTACATTATTTTAAAAAAAGGGTTCCTATTGGATCACGATTCTTTTTATTGCAATTTTACAATTATTCAATCTAAGTTTTACCTAACCTACAATAAATAGTTAGGATTGCGCAATGATTTCCTACTCTTACCATTAATTGTACATTAAAACACCTATTTTGACTTAAAAAAAAGTACTTAAAACGTGTAATCAGTCAATTACATTTATTATCATGGAATTATAAGAAAATCCCATAAATTTGAAATCAAAGACTACCTAATGATTTTAATTGATTTTGAATGTCAATTCGGAAGCCTTGAGTTTTGGGTATCTTGGGTGCAATTGTACCAACAAAAGAAATCCACTGGGCAAGGAGGAGAAGTGTTGGATTTGGCTTTCGAGAAGGGAATGAAATTTGGTCAAAATAATTAATTGAGAAGAGCTTTTATTTGTTGAACATGTGGCTTTGATTTTGACAAATCGTCTCTCTTCAAAGTAACCAAAAGACAAAGCAGCATTCGCTATGGCCAGTAAGCTGAGAACAGCAATTCCAGGTAACGCTTCGGTTCATAAAATTCAGAAAATGACTGGTAGTTGGAATTTTGGACCCATTTTATATAAATATTTGATTTAATAATAAACTTATATATTTTTATTTAAAATATCAAATTTCAATCGAAACTTTTATTTGTATTCAATAACTAATTCATATATATATGTCATTCAAAATGTAACATTTGTTCTTAATTATCGTATTGAATATATTTAATCAAAATTTTTATCTTAAATATCTTGAAAATTAAAGAGAGATAAATATTTAAGTACGAATTAAATACAGTATTGGGTTTTATGAAAAATAAATATTGAAAAAGAAAAACATTTATAGAAAGATAAAAAAAATATTGCATGAAATGGCTGGCACAAATCAGTGGCAATGATGAAAACAAAGTAAATGTTGAGGGGCAATTCTCAAAAAGCAGAACTTCAGAAAATGGTTATAAGGAAAAGAAAAAAAAAATTCTTAGTAATATTTCTTAATGCATCGCCCATTAGAATCAGCAGCTCCATATCCAATTTCCAAACCAGATTAAGAAGCCAAAAAAAAGGCTGCTAAATCTCTGACTCAATCTCCACAAAACCAAAGGTCAAAAGCTTCCCTTGCCATCCCTGTCCATTCACCTCTCTCTCTCTCTATCTATTAAGCCTCACTTGTAATTCACTCCTACATCTTATTTATTTACTCCACACAGCCACAAATAAATGTTTTCCTCCTTTTCCTTCTTACTACAACAAGAATCCCCATATTTGTTTTCAACCAAAATGCTGCCTTTGCCTAACTTCATCATCTCTGGTTGTTCAACATCCTGAAGAACAAAACCCAAAGCTTAAAAACCTGGCTTTTAGTGAAAGGAAGGACCTTGAAAACTGAAAAAAGAAAAAAAAACAATTTTTTTTTTGTTATCATGGGAAGTAAATGGAGGAAAGCAAAGTTGGCTCTGGGGTTGAACATGTGTTTGTATGTGCCTCATCAGAAGCTTGAAGATTCATCACCATCATCATCATCAACAACATCATCCATTAAGCATTCTCATGATGCTGCTAATGTTCCTTCAAGGTTTTCTTCAGATGCTATTCCTCTGTCTCCAGTTTCTCCTTCAGGCAACGAGTGCCGCCCCACAACTCCGACCCCTTCTTCGTCGGGGCTCCGGTTGTCCAAATCCAGCCCAAAATCTTCCAAGGTCTGCATTTTTTCCCCATTTTGTTTCCAAAATCGCTTCTTGTTTTTTATTTTTTTTACTCGTGAATGAGAATAAAGTTTGGAGTTCTTCATTTTTTTTCATATTTTTGCTTATGATGCTAATTTTGGTTTTTTTTCCCCCTTGCTGGATCTTAGAGGAGATTCTGGTTCTTAGTGATTAGCTTATTTGGTTAATTTTTGTAATTATCTTAATCAAACACTTTATTTTTAATCTTCAATAATGGTGGGATTTATATGAAAGGGTAATATGTTTACACTATTTTAATGCAAAATACTGTTAGCGTCAGTTGTATCCTGCCTAACTTCTGCTTTTTGAGATAATCTTGATCTTGAATAATAGGATTCAATGTATGAACTAGGAATGGTTTGTGTGGGGATAAGATATTGTACATGTCAAGCACTGTTTAATCTTGTCAGGTTTCAATTTATGTTGTTGGCTGTAGAAATTTGATTTGTTTTACCCTATTCATCTACCTTGGTTTCAACTTTCAATGCTACTTATCATGTGGGGTAGGAGGGGTGGTGGGGATGTGTGATAGTGTGCTGATTCTGAAAATTTCTGAGGATGGTTATTTGTTGTTGTGTTGTTTTCAACTCTCCTATAAGGCCATATGGAGCCAATGTGGGGATAAAGTGGACTAGTCTCTTTAAGGACCATTGTCCTTTGGCTTATTAGAAAAGGAATACAAACACCCTGCTGCCCGCTGTACTCTCTCTCTCTCTCTCTCTTTCACGTTGATGGAAAAGTGCTTTGTCTGGTCAGCATGGCTGCACTATTCCACACACCCATATTTCTATCTCTCTCTCCCTCTCCCTCCTTTTGATGATAATTTTGGAAAAGGCTGTGGACCGTTGGTTGTGAGCATTTGCTGTAGTAAGCTTCAGAGAGAAAAAAGGAGTAATGGGAAATGGGAAATGGAAAATAAAGAAAAAATATAAAATTTTGGGGGCAAACCCCATCATTTCCACTTCTTTTGATGAACTTTGCATTATTTTCTTTTTATTTCTTTTTTGGGTTATTTTGTTGAAAGGTTCATCATTAGTTTGAGAGGGTTGTTTGATTTTTCTTACTTTTTTGAAAGTCACCCCTTTGGTTTTTGTTGAATTCCTGATATGTCCTTTTACAATGCTTTGACTATTTACCATTGACCTTTTATGGTATATTAGCTTTAGTTTCCTAGCCATTTCACTGTAGTTAACTCTGGTCTAAAACCAAGTAGGGCTTTATCATGTAGGTAGGTTGCATTTTGTTTCTTCTTTTCATGCGCCAGTCTCAATAATAGAGCTGTATGGTGACAGAAAGGGTCAGTGATGGGCACTACTATTCTTGACCTTTGAAAATTTAACATTTTTCCAGAAACACTAGATATTTTATATAAAGGTAACTGTCAGATGGATGGTTTCGAGTGAGTTTGATATGGATTTGGATTACGATGGAGAAATTAAATTTCTGTTAAGACTTAAGAAAAATATGAATCTGAATCCTTCTTGAAGATATCTACCAACTTTGATCCTCATGAATTGGAACTAGCTCCTTTTTTTTTTCCTTTTTAAGATTCCATGGCACTTGGGGAAATATGAATTTTGTTAATGAGTGCCTATGAAAATGTTTTTGCAATTTAATGCGCTGTTTTTTCTAGTTCTAGCTTCCTCAAGCTGCTGGATTGTTGGTATACTGCCGATTGACTCCTCTAGGATCAGTTTTTATTTTGGGGAGGGGGAGGTGTTAAAGTAACTCATACATTTTAGTGTAGTAATTGCTTTATAGCTTTGCTTTAGCTACGCATGTTGTACGTCAGACCTGTCAGTATTATTTTCTCACATGCCAGTCCTTCCAAACTGCAGAAAACCTGTGCAATATGCCTGACAGCAATGAAACCAGGTCAAGGCCATGCTATTTTCACGGCAGAATGCTCCCATTCTTTCCACTTCCACTGTATAACTTCTAATGTAAAACATGGAAATCAGATTTGTCCAGTTTGCAGAGCAAAATGGAAGGAGGTCCCCTTTCAAAGTCCTGCTTCTGATCTTCCCAATGCAAGATCTAGGATCAGCCCAGTGGATTGGCCCCGGGATGATGCCTGGTTGACTGTCGTACGACGGCTACCTTCCCCTCGGTTAGATTCAAGTAGGCAGATTTCTTCACTTTTTCATGCCTCTGAGCCAGGAACCTTTGATGATGATGAAGTCTTAGATCAGCAGGTTGAGACTACTGAAGAAAATCTCTTTGCCAAGGATATTACTAAAATTAATTCTATTGGAGCAATAGAAGTTAAAACATATCCTGAAGTTTCAGCTGTTCCGAGAGCAACCTGTCATAATAATTTTGCTATATTAATCCATCTCAAAGCTCCCCATGCAAGTGGAGGGCAAAATAGCAGAAATCAAACTATAATTCCCCCAACGAATCAAAATTCTCGTGCCCCAGTTGACCTAGTCACTGTTCTTGATGTTAGTGGCAGCATGGCAGGTACCAAGCTTGCATTGCTAAAACGAGCTATGGGGTTTGTGATACAGCATCTGGGGCCTCTGACCGGCTTTCTGTTATAGCATTCTCCTCAACAGCCCGTCGCCTCTTTCCTCTTCGCCGGATGACTGAGACTGGACGGCAGGAAGCACTGCAGGCTGTTAACTCTCTTACATCAAATGGTGGGACAAATATTGCTGAAGGGCTTAGGAAAGGTGCTAAGGTGATAGTAGATCGCAAGTGGAAGAACCCTGTTGGAAGCATCATACTGTTATCCGATGGGCAGGACACTTATACTGTGACAAGTCCTAGTGGAGCTCATTCCAGGGCAGATTACAAATCACTTCTTCCTATCTCAATTCATCGGGATGGTGGGGCGGGTCTCCGTATCCCTGTGCATGCCTTTGGGTTTGGTGCAGATCATGATGCTGCTTCAATGCATTCAATTTCTGAGATATCTGGGGGTACATTTTCTTTCATAGAAGCTGAGGCTGTGATCCAGGATGCATTTGCCCAATGCATTGGAGGCTTTTAAGTGTGGTAGTGCAGGAGGCATGTGTTAAAGTTGAGTGTGCTCACCCAAATTTGGGAATTAATTCAATAATGGCAGGGAGTTATCAAACCAGCATGACGGCTGATGCAAGAACAGGTTCTATTGATGTAGGAGACTTGTATGCTGAAGAAGAAAGGGATTTTTTGGTGACTGTCAATGTTCCAGTTGATGAATCCAGTGATGAGATGTCATTGCTGAAAGTTAGATGTATTTACAGAGACCCCATTTCAAAAGAAATGGTATCCTTGGAAGAAGCCAATGAAGTAAAGATCCAGAGGCCCACAATAATTGGACAACCAGTAGTGTCAATGGAAGTAGACAGGCAGCGAAATAGGCTCCGTGCTGCAGAGGCTATGGCTGAGGCTAGAGCTGCTGCTGAACATGGTGATCTAACTGGTGCTGTCTCTCTCCTTGAGAGCTGTCGCAGGGCTTTATCGGAAACCATTTGTGCACAGGCTGGTGACAGGTTATGTGTTGCACTATGTGCTGAGCTGAAGGAGATGCAAGAAAGAATGGCAAACCGTCATGTGTACGAGTCATCTGGAAGGGCGTATGTGTTGTCGGGTTTGAGCTCACATTCCTGGCAGAGAGCAACTGCACGAGGTGATTCCACCGACAGTACAAGCCTTGTTCAAGCTTACCAGACCCCTTCCATGACAGACATGGTGACTCGTTCTCAGACCATGTTTTTTGGGAACCCCTCACAACGAAAGCTTCGACAAGCTCAGTCATTTCCAGCACGTCCACAGCCTAGGTAATCAGTGGTGAAATCTTCAAAAAATTCTCCTCACCCTACATTCATTTTCTATATCCACAAACCTTTTGTTTTGTGAAATTTTTGTCTTTCATTTTTGTTGCTTGGGGAAGCGGGGGTATAAATTGGAGAAATAGAAATGGGGTTCGGTGTTTTTTACGTGGTGGGTATATTTTCTTGTTCTAATATGTAAATTAATAAAAATTGGAGACAATTGAAATGACTGGTTTGAGTGGGATAAATGGAGGTGAGAATAGGGGGAATCTGGGAATTAGGTGTTTTACATATTTTGATAATGGAGCATTGTACATAGGCAGCAATGGCTTTTTTTTTTTTTCTCTTTCCTTCAAAAACGGTATAGCCATGTAATTGTGGGATACTCGGGGTGAATTCTTCACTTAAATATATGATATGGTATATCTGCTTTTGATTCTTTTTCACTAGTTTTTGTCGTCTACTCTTGAGGATTTGCTGAGTAGCATGGAAAACAGAAGTAAGCATATGCTTCATTCTTTCATGAACTTGGCATTGATGTTATTGTCTGATTCCAAATTCTGGTCACAACCTGAAAAATCCACTGAACGACGTACTATCAGATTGGATTTTCCCCATAATCCCTCTGAATGCTTGAATCATAACGGTTGAATATGTGGGTGTTGCAAAGATTTGCCACATTCCTACAAGGTTGTACCATTTTGAGTCTCTTAGGACTTCACATCAATGTAGGAGACGGATCCTTCCTTTCTCCCTGATTCTTGGTCACCTTCAACCTGTATTTGAAATCTTTCTTGTAAGGATGGAAATATCATCTAAGGTTGCATGATTTGCACCCAGATTCTTAAAGCCAAACAAATCCATGGTGGACTTTGTTGAGGAAGAAAATATCATCAAATTTTCATGATTGGTCTCAAGGAATAAAAAATTCCCCATAAAATATCTTCAAACCAGGAAAAGTGCAACAGCTTGTTCTGGCGTTCCCTTTTCCTCCCTTAATTGGAGCTGCCATGGAATACCCTACAAGAGTTAATGGTGGCTTCTTTCAAGTACTTCCTACCATGTCAGCACAGCCAAATTCCAGACTGTTTTTAGAAGAAAATCAGCAATATCCACCTGGATAACCAAGAGTGCAATAAATTAACCGGAAAATGGATACCAAGTCGCCCATTGAGATAAGTTTCATCTAGTTTTGAGGTAATTTTACTTTTATTATAATTTTCACAAAAAATTAAAGACAAATAAATATTTAGAGATCAATATATATGCACGCATGTACACAAGTATAAGAGAAAGAGAAATATTCATTACAAAATAAGAACATTTGAAAGAAATAAAGCCAATAAAATGGAAGTTTAAACAATTATTTTGGGATGATGTAAGTTGATCACCCACCTTATCTAATTCAAATGATGAAAGTCATCAACATCATAACCCTTCTGATTAATTGACCAATCTATCACCAGCCCTCTGATCCACAGCCTACGGTCAGGAGTCAATTAGACTGGGAAAGATATAATCACAAGGCCCCACCTTTGCATGTGATTTCCACGTGAAAACTATAATATAACTACAAACGAACGCGCCACCTCGTTGTCAGTGCACAGATATTGGCTCCAATAAATTTCACCTGTCACTTGTCTTTACCTACATAAAACATGAAATTCTAACCAAATTAGCTTAATTAAAATCTTAATTAAAAATTACGAATTTATATCTTATTCAACGTCGATATAAATTTTGTAATTATGGACGAATCATAAGTATAATCTCATTAATAAATAAATCTATATATCAAAAATTCCCATGAGAGAATCATTAGATATTTATCTATATATATTTATAAAATAATATTTCGTGATTAAATAATAATATATATACATTACGTAACGTAATGTATGTAGACCATTGAAATCATGAATGAAGACTGCGAAAGGAAAAGGAAACAAAGAGTGACATAAAGCAATTGTTTTTTCCCAAAGAAGATTGGTTTAGGCGAGCCAAATTTTCGTGATTTGTTCTGACTTCTCTTTTTATATAGCTTTTGCCTCTTTTTAGTAATTCTAATTCAATTGGTATTATTAGTTTAATGATGTTTAGATTGCCTATAAATCCAACCAGGTGATCATAATGATTGGCATCCTTTGATCAAACGGTCCACATCACCTTAGGCCCCTTCATCCCCCCCAAAATCCGGACAACGACACGAGACAAGAAATGGGACCTACATGTAGAAACAACGACGTTGAAGTTTTAACTTTACATTTCGCTTTGAACACTCCCCAACGTATGCAGTAGCAGACACTAGCAGTATATGTCTTCGAAGCCAAGCCATGTTCTTTCTCGTTCTTATCTTTTTTTAACCGTTGCCAACTTGGCAAGAGCTCTAAACTTTGTTTAACTTTTTCAATTTTTACAGAGAACCCATTAATCCTGAAGGAAAATGGTTGAGATGTCATTTTCGTGTTGGCAAATGGGTAGCTTTCAGAGAGGTGGTTGATGGGTTTGTTTTTCTGTTTCTATTCCAGTTTCTGAATGCTTCTGCATATTCAAAACCTTGTCAGTCTCTGTCTATTTCTTTTTAAATGTGCTGTTACATGTTTCTTCTTCATTGCAAACTCCTTTTTCTTTTTTCAGCTTAATTACTACTGAATTGTGGTTGGTATTCAAGCATTTAAGAGCAATGAATTGCCCATTTTTCTTGAGCTTCCTCAGGAGGTTATGCTGCCTAGATTAACACTCAGGTTTGAACTTAAACAATATATCCAGCTTATTTATTCTAGTTTTTCATTTTTACTTTCTCTTTGGTATGGTGATATCCTTTCTGTCTAGAAACAAGTTACTTCTAACAATGTTGATGAAATAGCATGTTGGTTTCATCTTGGAAGTTCTGGGAACAAGAATCATAATTAGGTTTTGCTAGCTAGGTAGGTGTCCTTTCTACACCATTAATGCAGTTGCAGCTGGAGTTGGGGAGTAAGGTCTCTGATGCCATTATTTTGAAAACCAATTTGTGCCCTGTGCACCATGTGTATATATTTAGTATTTGAAGTAACTATACTGTAATAACTGTTTCTAATTAGCTAGACCTTATATGTTTTTTGCTTTTTGGACACTTATGATTGGAGTGCTGCCTCTGGGGACTGTAGACAGATACTAGTAATAAATTTTTTGTGAAGTTTGTTATAGAAATTTTGGTATAGAATATTGGCATTGAGTGTGTAACATGGTATTACGTGTTCCCTGCTTGCTTGCTTGACTACCTTGGGAAAGGGTTGAAAGAATTAGAATTGGCACCCTAGGATGTTTGTTGGCCAACCAGAATTGGACAGTACCTATCATGCTATATTAATTTTCCATTTTTTGATAGTCTGGCCATCTCATCTAGAGTCTGGGCATGAATTTAGAGGCATTCTCAGTTTTGCTAAGTCTGAGATTCCAAATGCTATATCATACATGATCTTTGAATCCCTGAACCAATCTTGCCATATCCATATTTGCAGAATCATTTGATTCAATTCCTACTCCTTTTTCTTTGTCACATCAATTTTCAAACTTTGGGTTGTCATTTGTTTTCTGCAGAGTGGAGGCATTTAAGATCAGGGAAGTTTGAACAGTTGTGCTGTGGCCACTAATGAAGGTTTGTATACGATTTAGAAGTTGTTTCTCTTCAAATTGAATATTATAGGTTTTTTATCTGGTTATTGATTTTATTATTTCATGTTATTATGCTTCTTAGATGTTTCAGGTGTATCCATTTTGATGACTTGATAAATAGGTAGAACTACATAATCAAAATGAATGAAGCTGGAGTTAGCATTTAGTTCACCTCAGACTCAAATAACTAGACCAATTTGTTGCTTTTACCATGGTTTTGGTAATTCAAGATTTCTGGGAAATCTCCCATGTCTTTGCTGCAAAGCAATTTTGCTTGTTTTAGCTTTTGTACTAAGAATTCAAATCCAGATATTCTTACCCACCCATCCTCTGTTTTCAATTAGATTGCTTTCACTTATGTTGTCAATCTTAGACTTTGTTGAAGCAGTACAAGGCATTCATTTTGGAATTATAACATAGAGATAACAAGATTGTTTTCCACTTCAGTGTTCAAATTGGAATAAATGAAGCTCGAGGTGGAAGTTTCTCTTGCTTTTGTCATTAGTTTGATTTGGATTCAGCATGGTCTTTGCGGTTAGTATGAATATATTTCTCTCTTCAAATCTGGTCTCTTCTTCTTCTTTTCTTTATACATCACCATATTACCATTGGAAATCCTGGGTTCTGTGTGTACCTTTGCCTGATATTTCTCTAGCTTAAGGTCTAGCTTTGGCAACCCCAAAAGTTTACTTTCTTCTCCCTTGTTTTAAGTTTTCTCAGGCATGAAGACTTGTAAATGCTTCTCATTGTTTGTTTGCTATGTACATAATTGCCACTTATCTCAATTTCTTTGTAATCATTTGATGGCAGATGAACTTTCTAATACATCAGGCGTAAACAACTGGACATGCACATGCTCTTCCTTAAATCAGGGAAACCAGACCTCTGTTCTTAAATCTAACTGTTCAAGATCCTGTGATTGCAGTCCAGGTATGCTGATATTATTGTGGTATGATAATTTTGAATCTTCGAGCTACTTTTTATATAATTCTGCTGGTGCCAGGGATTGACAGAAGTCGCTCTTACTATTATTTAACTACTATCATCTAGCATTTTTGTGGAACTATCACCAACTTTTTGTATCTAAAACACCAAATTCTGTGGCATCATATGTGGCAGTTGAAACAAGTGGAGATAGGTGGACATGTTTATGTGCTACTGATGGATTGCCTAAAGTAGCTGTCAACAATCACAATACTACGTGTTTTACCGCCTGCAACTGCACTGCCGGTACTTTCTTCCAACTCCCAATATAAATGTGTATTTCTGAAGAATTCAATAGCTCAGCTGCCTGTATGTACCATGAACCAGAAGATTGCCTGGTTTGATGGAAGGAGCTTTTGAAACAAATTCTAGAGAACCAGTGCACATGAATGTTTCCATTTTCTTTTTTAATTTTAACAAGTAATTAATGTATATTTATTCTTTCATCTTTGATACTATGGTTTGTTATTCAAAGTAATTGGCCAATATTCAGATAAAGATTAGGAGCTTATTCAGTGGCACTTAATTGAATTGACAGGATCTCTTCCTCAGGCGCCAGCTTCAAGAAAGCACTACTCTAACAGAGATGTTGTGATTATTCTATTACTCTGTGTCATTCTCACAACACTGGCATTTCTTGCTTCAATAACATGCTATTTCTGTCGAAGGGACAAGTGCACGAAGTGCCCTATCCAACCACCAATATTCTCATCTGATAAAGAAACAAGTTGCAATAGTGCTACCAACTTGATAAGTCGTAGGACTTCTTTGGTGTCAGAAACTACAGTTACCGTCAGCTTCCCTACTAAACCTGCTGCGGGTATATAAGCTGTAACATGTTATAACTTCCCTTTCTTTGATTTGCTTTTAATTGTAATACAAACTCTTAACCATTTCTTGCCCTGCTAGCTCTCTGTGGTTTTATATGTTTCTGAACCTTGCATGCTGCATTCTTCATTCTGAACTTGGTTTGGGATATGTAAAGCATGAGGTCTTCTCTATTTTCAGGATGCTTTCAAAAGGCTTCATTCCTTTGTCGGGGAAAAAAAGGGACTATACTTGGAACAATTTGCCAGTTCGCCTACTCTGAACTGGAAAATGCAACCAATAAGTTCTCCAATTCCAACCTTATAGGACTTGGAGGAAGTAGCTTTGTGTACCGAGGCCAGCTCAAGGATGGAAGAATTGTTGCAGTCAAGCGACTTAAAATTCAAAGAGGTCCTGATGTAGATTCCATCTTTTCAACAGAGGTACAATCTCAACTTGACTTTTAAACAAGAGATTTTATGTTGCTCTCCAAAATATTATATGGTATTTTACAGTGTTGTTTTGCTTAGGTCGAGCTGTTGTCAAGGCTACATCACTGTCATGTGGTGCCCTTGCTTGGCTACTGTTCAGAATTCAGTGGGAAACATGCTGAGAGGCTACTGGTATTTGAATACATGCCTAATGGTAATTTGAGGGATTGTTTGGATGGGAATTTGGGGGAGAACATGACCTGGGAAACTCGTGTTGGTATTGCTATTGGTGCTGCAAGGGGCTTGGAATATCTTCATGAAGCTGCTGCTCCTAGAATATTGCATAGAGATGTAAAATCCACAAATATTCTCCTGGACAACAACTGGAGAGCTAAAGTAAGAGTGATTACTATTAGACTTCTGCTACAAATATTAAGCTCCAGATGGAAAGAGGAAAAGAACCACGTATAATGTTTACAAAAATATATTTTATACAATGTCTTGAGAAAATTAGATGACAAATAAATATATATTGAGTTTGAACTTGAAATGTGATGCATACATTAATTTCGCACACATTTGTGTACATATTGGTTTCTAACATAAATAGTGAACATGTGCAGATAACTGATCTTGGTTTGGCCAAACGTGTAAGAGCTGATGGAGTTCCCAGCTGTTCCAGTTCTCCAGCAAGAATGCAAGGCACTTTTGGCTATTTTGCCCCTGAATATGCAATTGTTGGAAAAGCCTCACTTATGTCAGATGTATTCAGTTTCGGTGTAGTTCTTCTGGAACTGATCACTGGTCGGCAACCCATCCATGAATCAAACAATAAAGAAGAAAGTCTTGTTATATGGGTAAAGTAGATATTTTCATGGTAGTCTTTTAAGCAGCTCCTTTCCATTGCCTCTTCTTTTATGCAACGCTAAATATCTGGATGTTGGTTGTGATGCTTAAACTATTTGTCTGCACTTTGTCCCATTCAGGCTATCCCTCGTTTACAGGATAGTAAGCGAGTGACCACAGAGTTACCTGATCCACGTTTAAAAGGGAATTTTCCAGAAGAAGAGATGCAGATAATGGCTTACCTAGCAAAGGAGTGCTTGCTGTTAGACCCTGATGCTCGGCCAACAATGAGCGAGGTTGTGCAAATCCTCTCAACTATTGCACCAGATAAATCTAAAAGAATGAATATCCCTGTAAATTTTTTCCAGGTAATGCTTTAAACCTGTTCAGAAGTCGATGCTTGTCCGTCTTTGCTCTATGATAGTTACATGGTTTATAGTACCATACCCCTAATGGAAACAACTGGCCTCATTAATTAAAATCAAGAGGAATACATCCAATAATATGAGGGTTGCCATGTCTGCCAACCTATTAAATGAGCCCAATAATCTTGCCTGTTTTCTTGTGCAGATGCCATCAGCCCATAACGTGAAGAATGAAGCTCTTGTAGAGAGACATCAAAGTGTAATTGAGGCTTTATATGATACAGAGGAGCATATACCAGCTACGTCTATTAGTTCAGCTGAGAGCTCACCACAATTAGGTACAGATGGTATTGAAATTATCGGCAAAGAAATAGGTCCCCTTCCTGCTGAGTGTATGGAGAGGCTGGTCCTTTTGAGTTCCAATGCTAGGAGTTGGCGTGTCAATGATGATGAAGCAGTAGACTTAACAGAGCCTCGGTTTGAATCATTCCGCATGGCAAATGTTAAGTCCCCCTGAGAAGAACTATTCTACTGACAGGATTAACACATTTTGCACAAGTTTGCTTGGGCTTCTTTCTGCCGTTTACTCTAAGAAAGGAACATCATACAGGGAGTCGGTTTTTGAGAAAATATCCATTTGATTTTTTATTTGTTGGGGGTTGTCTTGAAGAGTAGGCCGCACACAGGTTGTGTTAGTACTAGGTCATGGTTTTTCCTTTATCGCGTTTCATGCGTTTGTACAAAATATTTATACAAAATTAGTAAAAAATATCAAATCAACTAAAGACTGTAGATGATGGGCAATCTTTTTCAGCAATGGCCACTGCAGGAGAATCAGTTCTACTTCCAAGTTGCCGCCATCAAACATTCAATATCGAATTTTTAACTTGTCTCACACGATCCATTGCACCCAAAAAATCCTTAAACCAAATACAAGTTGACAGAACAATCATGAATGCCATCATGTTTTTCATTTTTCAATCATTTTCTCTTCTAGAAGGTCCGGTGCAGCAGCTTTATACAGCAATGCTCTTCCTTGTTAACTGCCTTGGATTTCGGATGTCTGGCAAGTCTCAGAGCAGTAAACACTAACTTTGTTTATGTGTTAGTTGGGTGTCTTGTTTTTGCAGACTTGGAGTCTCCCTTTGAACGGTAGTTGATATATGACTTTGAGAAAGGATGGTAGAATTCCATCAACATATATAATAAACTCACCAATTTAAGCCTTCTTCCCAAGGTCTTATCACCATTGTCAACAATCCAGGGTCAGCAATGGATCCACCTCCGCCTCCAAGTACACCGCTGCTAGATTCGGCTCCTCCTCCGGATGGAGGGATTTGGGAATCTTGGTAAGCTGTTCTCTCCCCAGTACTGCATTTTACTTCTGCAGGAAGAAACAAAACAGCTTGTCTCATTTTCTTGGCTCCCCTCTCTGTTTGCAGCTTGTGGTTGCTGTGCTGCTGTGGTGTATTTAGAAGCTGCTGCCCTCCACTCTTCGAGCCCGGGCCTCCTCCTCCTTAGAGCTGCATTTCTTTAAGGAATTGTATTTTTCCGTTCTGTTTTGCCTATTTTTAAGCAAGTTTACATGACTTGGAAGCACCCTTGGTTTCCTTTTGTCTTTTTCTAATTGTGTGTTGATAAGGATTGAAACTTATTGGAACTGATTCTTCTTGTTGTCTTTATTTCTCATTCTCATGTATCTGCTGAGATTACAGTTTGCCAAATCCTGTAAATCAATTCCCACTTTATGTTCATCCATGATATATAAATATTCAAAAGGAAATAACCCTTTAACTTGGCTAAAGTTTTTCTTCTTATTGGATCTCCCTACCTTAATTGTTCTTGATATATCGGTTCGGGTCCAAATATTATTAATTGGATGATTTTTCGAATTTAAATCATGTAATTTTAAAAAATAATTAATTTAAATTTTTATATAAATTTTAATTGATAAGGTAAAACTAAACACACAAGGTCTTAAGGTCTATCAAACGATGTATAAGTAAGGACCCTCAACTTTCACTCCAAGATTAATAGTACATAATCCATTAAAATCCAAACTTTTTCTCTCGTTTTCTCCGCAACCAAACAAGGGGTTGTGTAAGGGTGATTGCGTCATTAACGTCGGGTACTCAAATATGACTTCAACGATATCGTTTAGAGGGAGTATTTAATTTTTATCCTTTCGAAACGTACCGTCTTGACCTGGCAGCAGGAACAATAAAACCAGGGCCAACTTGGAAATAGCAGAGCTTGTGACTGAAACTAAAACGGAGGAGGAGAAACCAGAAGAAGAAAAAGCATGGCCGCAAAACCCGGTTCAGCTCCGACAACGTATTCCCCGTCTCTGATTCAGAAAACCCGACCGCCCATTTTCAAAGACAACGATCTTGATTGGGTCCGACCTGATGGCCGCGGCTTCCACCAGTGCCGACCCGCATGTAAGCTTCTTCTGTTCTTTGTCTTTTTTTAGCTTTTATTTCTGGGTTTTTTCTTTCTTTCTTTTTGCCCTTTTGGGTTTAATCTGATCATGGATATAGGTAATTTGGCTTTTGATTTTACTTTGTGATCATGTTTTGCATGTAAAGCTGAAAACTTTGAGTGTTTTTTTTAGATGTTAGCAAGCTGTCTCTTGACTCTTTGATAGTCATCCTAGAAAAAACGATTTTAATTATTTCTTTTGTGTGTCTCTCTGTATGCTAGTGTGATTCATTACCTGGGGTATGCTTAAGTTTATTTGCTTTTTAATGACATCATTAAAAGGCTTGTCTTTGTTCATAGTTTCATACTGGATATGGTATAATATGACATTTTATATTGAATGCCTTTGGGTAGATCGGTGCTGTTTGATGTCTTGATGAGTTAAATAAACACGATACGTAATTTTGTTTGGTTGTTTTTCATGCTTCGTTCGATGTTTGTAAGCATTTCTCTGTTTAAGTATGCTTCAGCTGCGTGTTCTGTTTGGCCAATCGTCTACGAGTTTAAGTGGTTTTGCTTCTTCAAGTTTTACTTGTGCCTGTATGCTCTATCTTTGGTTCCCGTGTCTCCTTTCTTATCCTTATTTAAAATTTGAGTGTTCATTCTTATGACAAAAGAGAGTATGAGCTTTTCATACTTGTTCAGTTGTCATGCCATGGTATCATCAATTCCTGCTTCTACCACAAAGTATCAATTTTCTTATAGTTTTTAGGCTTCTGGGACGTAAGAAAGATGTATTCTTATAGAAAAGTTATGGCTCATTCTCCATATCCTTCTTTGTATTGGTGCTTCTTGGATTCTGATTTGGTGAATTGAAATGAATGCTCAAATGTTGGTGATTTGCAGTTTTCAGGACAGGTGCAGTAAATTCTGCTTCTGGATCTGCTTATGCTGAGTTTGGAAATACCAAGGTCATTGTGTCTGTGTGAGTCATCTGTGTTAAAATTCTCATATTCTTCTTGGTTGGAATTTTACAACCATATGCTTTCTTTAGCAAAATTTTGTTTCAAATACTGATAGGTTTCCGGTGATTATTCTACATATTCACATGTCATTGGTCTTTAACAATTTAGATTTGGACCAAGAGAAAGTAAGAAAGCAATGATGTACAGTGATATTGGGCGGTTAAATTGTAATGTCAGCTATACAACTTTTGCCACTCCAGTTCGAGGACAGGTATGTCAGATGATTTGAAGTGTAAATTTTTTGAGGTGTCACTAATTATTTTCCATAACTTATTTGATCTAATCTTTTAATCCCCTTTTTAGTTCTTTTCTCCTATTAAATTGATTCTATTTCTTGGATCTCCTTTTTCTTAGGGATCAGACCACAAAGAGTTTTCCTCAATGCTTCATAAAGCTTTGGAAGGTGCAATAATGTTGGAAACATTCCCCAAGACCACCGTGGATGTTTTTGCATTGGTGTTGGAATCTGGGGGCAGTAAGTCCTTGTATTGATATTTAGTAATTAGGCTTCAGTTGGCTTGTTATCTGTTCTTGTACATATTCTTTTTTCAGTGGCTTTCTCTTTTCTGCTGTGATACTAGGATGTGGCTAGCATTTCATTCTAAACAGATACTGAATTTAGCCTGAATAATTTGCTTATTTTTCGCTTTTCCAAACTTGGTTGTAACTGAGGATCCACTACCATGAAAGAAGTAATGGTCAGCTTTTTATGCTATGTGAATTAGTTTATTAATAGATTTTATCCTCACTCTGCTGTAAGTTTCTTAATCAAATTTCCCACGTTTTCTCACATTTCTTAACCTGTCTATTCTTTAGATCCTTCTTGTGCCCTCTCTCGTAATTTGGTTCTCAATTTACTACAATTAGTTATGTTTCAAATCGTGTTCATTTAGTTGAATAATTTAGGTGATTGTATAGTGTCAAAAGTTTCATTTTTATAATCATGATGAAAATTCTTATAAGCTATGGATATGTCCTAAACTCTTGTATTGCCATTTGTTGATAAGTTCATAACATTGGTTGCAGGTGATCTTCCTGTAGTGATATCATGTGCTAGTCTTGCCCTTGCAGATGCAGGGATCATGATGTATGACCTTGTTGCTGCAGTTTCTGTGGTAAGGGTCTTTGCTCATGTTTCGCACTTGAGCATTAGGCATTATGATCATCATGCACGTATAAATTTAAGCAACTCTTTCCTGCTCATTTGTGCTCATTTTACTTTTCTTCAGTTCACTTTGGCTGCTTTGTTATGCACTTCCCTTGCTATCTGCAGTAGTAAATATTACTACCATGCTATTATTGATGCTGTGCTAGTGCCAGTATATCAGTTATATGCCAACAAAATTGATCTTGTGCTTGATGTAGTAGGTGGTTAAATTTTTTGTAACAAGGAAAGTGGGATTGATAATGAATTGCTACAAATTGGAAAATTAACAGCAGCATCAATATGCAGAAGCTGGTCCTTTGCTGCATGAACTTGATGCCATTCTTCAAATGCCATTCACCTTACACATGGTAGAATGGATTTGTCCTTTTTAACCTGGAAGACTGATGTAGACTGCCTTGTGATTTCCACTCTAAAGAACTCTCTTTTTTCACATATGTTTCTCTATGTTACGTCCTGCGCTGATGCATAAATTTGGTTGCTAGTCCTGTCTAGGGAAAAATCTCGTGATTGATCCTATTCTCGAAGAGGAAAGCTACCAAGATGGAAGCTTAATGCTTACATGTATGCCTTCTCGTTATGAGGTCACTCAATTAATATTTACAGGAGAATGGTCAACCCTAGATATTAATGAGGTATGCCATTTGATATAATACATATTTCTCCTTTTGGCTTGTATGTTAGCTCCATCAAGATTTTATGAAAAATTTGGGCAACCAATTCTGCAAAGCAAAAATGCTACATCTATGGTGCCAACAGCTCTAATATTGCTTCCATATACAGGCAATGCAGCTTTGCCTTGATGCTTGTGGTAAGCTTGGTAAAGTCATGAGGTCATGCTTGAAGGAAGCCGCGTCTGCTTCACAAGAGTAAAAAGATGTGCCTCTTAATTTTTGTTTTTACAACACAATCTATCTCTCTTTCTCCTTTCAACCCTTCCTTTGGTAAATGCGGACTTTCTGAGAATTTTGTAATCGAGTTGAGTTTATTTCCCCTCATTTCAAATGTTATTTACATTGATTCCTAGTTCCACTAAAAACCAATCAATATGAGAAGTGTTAAGCAGCAGGTTGTCTTTTATTAGATTTGAATCAGAAATTGTAAATGAATTTTGCTGCTGGTTTTGCTTCTATTCTCTCGAGGGAGATGCTGACAAAGCATCAATCTATGAGTGGAGTGCAGTTAAGCTGAATAGATTAATTAGCTTATATTTAAAGCTTGATTTCTGTATTCAGAGTTAAAAATGGTTGCATGAGTAACTCCTTTTGTTTTGTTCGGGCCAAATACAGGCCCTGGCAGCTGGTCATATGACAGCAATTGCCAGAATACTGACAGTGAATGTTGTCCCAGCATCTGGTTCTTGAGTTTCTGATCCCAGTTTCTGGGCCAGTAGAACATAGATTGCAGGTGGTTGGGGTATAAAGAAATTAATAGCCATATGCACATCCTTAAAAGCTTGGATGCATGGAATCATATTCAAACCATATTCCCCATAAAAATAAAAAATTCCCATAGGGTGAGCATCAATTAGTTCTAATAGAATAAATTGATCAAAATTGATTGAATTCGAATAAATCGTTACGGTTTTGTATTGGATTTGATCAAATAGATATGGTTTATTTGGATTTTTCAACCATTAATCAAATATTCATCCTTAATTACTATATGTATCAAGTTGGGTATATATAGGGGACATGGCAAATCAATAATGAGATGTCTGACGATCAGTTAGCATGTCACCATCCGAATTGTCCATAAATTTAACACGAATAGGCAATCCATTTCATGCCACATAGAAGAGGAAAATGTGAGAGCAAACGTGTGAAACTTTCATCCAGTTAATGTCACAACTATCTAAGATATGCATAGAAAATCATAGCATTGGTATGTCAGATGTAAAGAAGTGTGGGTCATACATTGATCCACGCATAGCATTTAATGGTCTCTGTGGCTCCCATAATGTGGCCCCTCATGGTTTAAATCACTTGCCACCAGCTTCATAAACGACCATGAATTTAATTTCCAGGAGCAGGGCTCTCCCCTGCTGCTACACCATCATTGAAACATTGAGCTGGCCTCATCCTGCCAGTTAATCGTATCTTCTACAAATATATATAACCTCACGCGGAACTTTTCAAAAGAAATAAGTAGAGTGCTTCAATTTTATATCGAACAAATAAGGAGATATTAAAAATTTATAACCGTAAATGCTGTACATTATGTCAGATTAATCTTTTGAAAAAAGAATTTTGACTCAATTCTCGGGTTCAGTTTCAGATTTTCGATGCAAAACCAGTTAAGATAATTGATACCCTATTGTACCTTTCTTTGTTTCTATATCTATATGTTCAGCAGTTTTTATAGTAAGGTTGATAAAAAAAAATCTGATGTTCAGTATTAGGAAGCAAGATGTTTAAATGAAATCAAGCTGGTGCAAAGGCGAGATCTCTCTGGCTTGTCGGATTAGATCTAATAAAGTAGCATTAATTAACTTTTCCAAAGTAATCCTCATGATTATTAAAAAAAGAAGAAAAAAAAATGGGTGGTGAGCTTAAGCTGGCAATGAGAAGAGCTGATTGAAATGGCAGGGTTTAGTTTTCTAGACGAACAAAGGGAAGGAAACAACAGTTGTGTTTGAAATTTATGGGGAAATGTGTGCACCGTCACATACAGGAGTAGGGCAGGACAGGAAGATACTGTCAAGCTGGAGACCAAACCCTTTCCACGACAAAAAAACCCTGTTTCAACCTGTGAACTTGGATGGTGACTTGTTTCTTTCTTCAGCTTCATTAAATTCTCAAGATGATGTGGGGTAAAGCTGATCCAGAATGAATAAATCACAATTTAAGGTGAAAATCAAAGAAAGAATAAAGAAATATCTTAAAATTGTTGTGAGTCACGTAATTTAAACTTAAAATGTTATTAAATTAATAATATTTCAATTTAAGTCGTTACAATATATAATCTCATCCCACACAGTTATCTAAGTCAATACTGCTTGAACTCGTATTGTTATAATTGAATGATCAATTCATAAAATATTACAAAAAAACATTAATTTCAGATAATTTTTTGTAGAAAACCTGAAGTGGAACTGTGTCATAAACAACATGGGTCTTTCTTTTTTACTTGGAAACTTGATAGAATTTGGACACAGAAACATTTTGAAAAGATGGTTTCAATGGATATTTTTCATCACCCAAGATTCTGAACCTTTCTTCAGGTTACATCCTGGAAAGAAAAGAAAAATCTATGAACTTGTAGATGAAAAAAAGAGAAGCAAAATCTAGTAGTTTCCAGTTGGAATTGGGATTCCAAGCCTCAAAATTTTCAAGTCCTTTTGATGGTGACAAGGGAGAGAAGAAAGAAAAGGTTCATGCACTGAAGTACAAATCTATTACAGTAATGATTGAAATGTTAATTTTCTTTTGGGGGCCATAACCAGAGCCCCAGATAGGCAACAAAGGAAACTTGCTGTACTTATATCGTGGTGCCAGTTATTAAAGGGTTCAAAAGTAAACAAGGACCATGTCTGAGCCACACAGTGGGGCAAAAGTCAATCCTGTTAGGGCCAAGATACCCTTTCTTTTTCATCCTTCCCTCCTAAGATTTCTTCCTACTGATTCTTTGATGACATTAGCAAGCTTTCAATTCCTTTGACAAAGTCACATGAATTCACCCTCTAAAGTGGCATTTCCAGCTATTGTTTGTGAAAGTGATAGTATTTTTTTTATTAAAATCGAATAAATTCTAGTAAAATAATTTAATTTAATTCAATTATTTTAAAAATGAATAAGATTGAATCGATTAATTTGATCAATTTTAATTTAAATTGTTTTTTCAATTAATCAGATTAACTGATTTAGGATTATAAACATATACGTAAATATAATCGATATTTAATTTTTTTAATGTTTTTAATTATGATTGTTGAAATAATTTAATGTTATTAAGTTTACTATGTTGCATAATTTTTAATTTAATTTTTATTTATTTTGTAATTAGCATAAAAAATGAAACTGAAAAATCAAACTTGAGCTTATTAAGGTTTATGAGTCCAAAAATTTTGATTAATTCGATTATCGATCAAATTAATCGATCCAATTTGATTAATATTTAATTTTTGATCCATTCAATGCTCTTATGATTCAATTTCAACTATTAGTTAATACATTTCACGTGAGTATACTACATAGAATTTTATCTTTTTTGAAAATTTATTAAAATTTAATTCATAAAAAAATAAAATCATTGTCAGTATAAAAAAGAAAAAAATAAAAAAAAAGGAAGAAGAAACTTCTATTACCCAATCATCTTGCAGGTTGTAAACTTACCGTACATCACTGACAGACACGTGTCAAGATCCCATAGGCATGCGTATCTAACAACGTAGTCAACTCCTCGGATCTTACAAACATAGAAACAAATGACAGTCTCCTTTCTCTATTTCTGTTTCTTTGCTTTTGTTTTTAAAGCCCTTTGGACAAACTCATATGGTTCTGTCTCTCTGACTTTCTCTTCCCATTAATAATTTGCTTATTAAATAAACTATTATGATTTTTTTCCCCCCAAGTTTTTGACAATAAAATTTGCAGGTTTTTAAATTAGAAGGAACTCTTCCTGTCACTTTCTTGGGAAATCTTTGGTTTTTAAGTCACTAAACTTGTTAATGTACGAACCCGATTAATTATAGGCGAGCATAACGAGAAGGGTATCTCTTCATTGTTCCCACCATGGAAAGTGTTGTTTAAACTTTCCATTTCCAGCTTCTTTCCAGTTCATTTCTTAAATGATTTTTATGGGAAATAAGAAAAGGGTTTCTGGGGTTCTTTTTCATTCCTAGAGATCACCATCAGATCAGTTGGGAACTGAAGTTTTCAGGATTTTTGACATGATTTGGCCCCTATGCTTGTAAGTTCTATATCAGTTTCTCTAGTCTTTGGTGGCCATGCTAGTTATTCCCTGTATGTTGGAATCAGAATATAAGGACCTAAAAAGCTGTGTCTGTTTAGAATCGTATTCTCATTTAGCTTTGTTTTATTGACTTATCCTCTTTCCAAGATGCTGAAAACTTCCTTCAAAATATCAATAAATCAAGAAAGGATTAGCCATATGGTTTTGTTTGTTGTCATGGTCAGAGTTTTAATTATCTTCCATATTTCCTGTTAGAAATCTTGCTGACCAAATTTCTGAAATGGTGTGAATAGTGAATCTAAGGCTTTCAAGCCATTCTTTTGCGGCTTCTTTTTCTTTTTCTCGCTTGGAAGGAAAGGGTATCAAAATGATGTGATATGTTTTCTGATGCAACAGATCATACTGACATTATGGAAGGAAAATTAAACATTTTTGTTTAGTGGTTTGAAAGGAAGTCTGAAGACCTAAATAAAGAAATTGGTCACATGTTTTGAGCAGGCTCTTTTGGCGTAAAAAGGGGGGGGGGGGGGGGGAATGGTCTTTACAGCTGCTTCAGTTCAAGTTGAGTTATCTTTCATGCCATATGGTCACATGATTCCTGGTTCGAGAAGCCATTGAAGGGCCTTTTCTGCTCTTGTGGCTTTGAGTTCTTGCGACTTGCCTGGTCAACTTCAGTTGATTCACGACCAGCTGACATCTATAAACTGTTTGTTCTTCGGCCGGCCTGTGTGTAAACTTTCTTTGCCTTTCCTTCTTCTCCTTCTGCAGATCAAATCCGATAACTGAAAACAACTGCAACAACATTTGGAAGAAAACCATGGGGTTTGACACATCAAGATCTGTAAGGTTTGTATCCATCTTTGTTCTTTAATGTCTCCGTTAAGATTTCTTCCATGATTTCAATTTGATCATATACACTCCCATTAGTTCTGGTTTTACATATAGTTCAAACTAGTAAATGAAACAATCATCGATTAGTGGCGGCTTCATTTTACACTTTCCAGATTTCAAGATGATCTTGAATTAGCAAAGCTCCCAACAATCAATGGAGATGGTATGATAAAGCTGAAATACCATATCAACGGAAAGCAAAAATCAGAGTCTAGCACCAGGAGGGCTGAGAAGGAGTTGCCTAGTTGTAGGAGAGGAAGATCCTTTAAAGCTAAAGTACTGTCAAGAGTTTTCTCTGAGGACTTTGAGAGAGTGAAGAAGAAGATTTTGGATCCTCGAGGACCTATCATTCGCCGATGGAGCAAGATTTTTCTAGTAGCATGCTTAGTTTCTTTGTTTGTGGATCCTCTCTTCTTTTATTTGCCAATAGTTTCGAAGGCAGTCTGCATAGATATAGGAATACCGCTGGAAGTTATCCTGACCATCGTTAGATCATTAGCTGATGCCTTCTACATAATTCAGATTTTCATTCGTTTTCGGACGGCTTATGTTGCACCTCCTTCTCGTGTATTTGGGAGAGGAGAGCTTGTTATAGATTCCAGAAAGATTGCTTCCAGGTACCTGCAGAAGAGTTTCTGGATAGATTTAATTGCTGCCCTTCCCCTTCCTCAGGTATACATGTCGTGATTGAAAACTGATATTTGGTCTTCTCAGGATGTGTTGAATTATGGGATTAATTTGTTTCATCTTGTTCCAGGTTTTGATTTGGATAGTCATTCCCAATCTTAAGGGTTCAACAATGACAAACACCAAGGACGTGCTTCGGTTCATAATCATTTTTCAGTACCTTCCAAGACTTTTTCTTATATTTCCACTCTCATCACAAATTGTCAAAGCCACTGGTGTCGTGACAGAAACAGCATGGGCAGGCGCTGCCTACAACCTGATGCTCTACATGCTGGCAAGCCATGTAAGTTAATTTTGTTAACATCCTTGTGAAAATTCCTGGGATCAACTATGATTAGTTGCACTATGTTCTTGCACTGAACTAACCATACCTAAACTAGAAAATGAGGGGAAAAAATGTCACGAAAGCAAGAACTTGGATCCCTGGTATCATTTTCTAATGTTTCTTTTATATTTATTGCTTTCTCCATTACCCCTTGACATAAGTTATTAATATGCCTGAATGGCAATAAAATGCCAATGCGTGGCATGTAGAAATTAGTCTTATAACGTATTCACCGGTTCACATTTCTCTGTTACCTTGGGCAAAAATATCAGTGTGCTTATTTATTGTTTTCTTGAAAAGGTTTTAGGAGCTTGCTGGTACCTTCTTTCCATAGAGCGGCAAGAAGCCTGCTGGAGGAGTGCCTGTGATCTTGAGGATTCATCCTGTCAGTATAAATATTTGGATTGCCACAGGGTTAAAGACCCCGGCAGGGATACCTGGTTCAGGTCCAGCAATATTTCTTCCCTATGCAGTCCAACGTCTTCCTATCAATTTGGTATATATGGTGATGCATTGACATATGATGTCACAGCCTCACCATTCTTCAACAAGTACTTTTACTGCCTTTGGTGGGGTTTAAGGAACTTGAGGTGAGTTGTTTCCCCAGAACTTCTCGATGTTCATATTAAATTATCCTTGTTTGCTTTTTTGATGATTTCCATTTTATATTTTTGATAAACAAAGAAGAAAATTTCTTTCAGCAGCAACAGCTTGACCTGATCTTATCGATTTTTTTTCTGATGTATCAAATATCAATAATTGCATCAAGACAATAGCTCTCTTCTAAAACAATTGAAAGTGTATTTCTAGCTGCAGTATGGCTCTGGCATTTTTCGAGCTAACCTTATAGCTGATAAAACATTATAAATTTGCATTTGCAAGATCCAAGTGGCCATAAATTTCTGCAAATAAACACGATTTTGTTCCTACTGGGAAGACGGATATATTCACTTGCTTAAACTCTAATTCTCTCTCTCTTATATGCAGTTCTTTGGGACAAAATCTTGAAACAAGCACTTATGTTGGAGAAATAATGTTTGCCATCATAATTGCAACTCTTGGGCTGGTTCTCTTCGCACTGCTCATTGGGAATATGCAAGTAAGTCCTCCAACTGATGTCTCTGAAACTATTCTTCCTTCTGCTGTTTTTGAAAATTTAAGCATCTAGCTTGTTTAAGAAAAGATGGAGGGACCTGGGAAAAGCTTCAAGTAAATCCTCCTGAGGCCAAACCTTTAAGGCTCACATCACAAAGTCCTGAGGGGCAACATCTCAGACTAACCTATGTGAAGTCTTTGGGCATGATATTGGAGTTCCCCAGGGAATCTGATGTCATGACTTCTTATATTGCTGGTAATTTATAATTCTGATATAATATTTCTCTGGCAGACATACCTTCAATCCACCACGGTTAGGTTGGAAGAATGGAGAATCAAGAGAACTGATACAGAACAATGGATGCGTCACAGGCAGCTTCCTCCTGAGTTAAGGCAATCTGTAAGAAAATATGATCAGTATAAGTGGCTTGCTACAAGAGGAGTTGACGAAGAAACTCTACTCAAAGGGCTTCCCTTGGACCTCAGGAGAGACATCAAACGCCACCTCTGTCTTGACCTTGTCCGACGAGTAAGTGATCAAACCCCCAACATTCATGATTACAATAAATTGCCACAATAAGCTTGATGTATAACTTTTATTTATCAAACACAACAGGTACCGTTGTTTGATCAAATGGATGAAAGGATGCTTGATGCAATCTGTGAGAGGCTAAAGCCTGCCTTGTGCACCCAAGGCACATTCCTAGTCCGTGAAGGTGATCCCGTCAACGAGATGCTCTTCATAATCCGAGGCCACCTAGACTCTTACACTACCAATGGCGGCCGTACTGGATTCTTCAACTCTTGCAGAATTGGCCCTGGAGACTTCTGCGGCGAGGAACTGCTAACCTGGGCCTTGGATCCTCGTCCCAGTGTCATTCTCCCATCTTCAACTCGCACTGTCAAAGCAATATCAGAAGTAGAGGCCTTCGCTCTTAGAGCAGAAGATCTCAAGTTCGTGGCATCACAGTTTAGAAGACTGCACAGTAAACAACTTAGACACAAATTCAGGTTCTACTCACACCAGTGGAGAACATGGGCTGCCTGTTTCATACAAGCAGCATGGCGTCGGTTTAAGAAACGAAGAGAAGCAGCTGATCTTAGAGCTAAAGAGAACCTCATGGCTCCTGCTGAACCTGCACCAGCAACGTCCGCACCTGGTTCAGGCTTGGCTATGTATGCAGCCAGGCTAGCAGCAAGCAATAGGAGAGGTGTTAATTTGCATTCCGGATCTGATTCTGGTGTTGTCAGCTCCTTGCAGAAACCAGCAGAGCCAGATTTTTCTGTCGACGAGGAATGAATTATAACACTCCCCAAATCGGGGGGATCTAGTCATGTGTAGGTATCACCGAAGAAAATGCCTGTAAATTTTGTTTGTTTTCTTTTCCTAGTCTGTAAACAGAAAAATGGACTCTGAAATTCTTGTTTCAAAGTATTTATCTATATAGAATACAGGGTGGAAATTCTTTACACAAGTTTCGCAAACTTACTCCAATATGATGCAATTTAAGTGATGAACATCCTTCAATGTTAGCATGTTTTCATCATTTAGCTCACATACCCAGCAACATTCTAAATAGACAATGTTTTTTATCTGGTATTCAATGATTAATTGGCATTGACAGGAAAAGCTTTCGTATTAAAACGGTGATAAAAGAACTTCTCTATTGACGTCTCTTTTAAAATTTCAACATGATATCAAAATAAAAGTTGCTCTCTCGTCTCTTTTATGTAATCTTTCTGTAATTCATAACACGAGTACAGTGAACAAGAGTGTTTCCATCAATGCATACGGACACCAAGGAAACAGGCCCAAATTCATTGGGTTTGAAAGTGGTTCGTATGCACAGCTGAATGGGATGGGAGCCGCTCTCACTGGATTTGGGACACCACACTTAGTTCATCAAGCTCTTTGTGTAGCAATGAGCTCATAAATTGATCATAAGTAAGCCCACATGTCAGCTTCATAATATTAATGTCAGAACGAATTGAAAAGTTCAATATATATATATATATATATATATATATATATATATATATAATTCAGTTGGATTGATATTTTTATTATATATTCTTTTTTTTTGACCTTTTTTTCATAAAAAATTATCAATAAAACGGAATCTTATTATTACAGAAGGAACACGTACTTTTGTATTTTTCTTTTTATTTTAAAAGGAAAGTAGTAGATAAAGCCAACAGAAATGTTGGAAATTTGTGTAAAGCTAAACGCAGCCAGAGAAAGAAAATGTAAGGAAAAGGACAGAAAATTCTGACCACTTTTAACCCAAAACAAAAAAAAAAAAGGGGTTACACATCTCCCTCCAAGTTTCAACTAAGTTCCCCCAGTACGTACATTTCAATTCCTCATTCCACACTTTAGTTGACATATGAATTTGTAAAAGCTGATCCAGTTAATCAAAAGGCAAACCAACAAACAGATGCAGATAAGAAAAGTGTGAGGGCTCAATGATTATGATCAAACTTTAAGTGCCCGTATTCTTTGACTGGGGTGAACCTTTCTTACCCTTTGAAAGCAGCAATTTCTTTCCCTAGTAAATGGGATCACCATGACCTTTTCTCATTGTTTTATCAGGCCATTCTTTCTCTTTTTTTACGTATAAATATAAATTTAAATTGCAAAATGTCATTCAGATTCTAAATTTTCAAATTAAAATCTCAAATTTTAATTATTAAGGTAAGACGGTTGTATTTGCAATTCTGGTTAAGGGTTAATTGCCCGGATAAAAAATTTCATATGGATTCAAAGTATGAGGTAGTATGCATGACATAAGACTAAGAACATGGTTATAATTACTTTTATTTGGTTCTACACATGATCTAATTTTGGGTTTTTGTTCCTCCATTTCACATGGTGAAAAGCTTTTGGGTTATCATTGCTGGTGGACATTTTTCTTTTTGGGTACACTGGTGGATGAGAGAGGAAGACTGTAAAAAAAGATGTTCAAGTCGGGAATTTTTGCTTTACATTTTACCTGTTAAAAACAGGAAGCAAAATTGGGACCCCAAGGGGAGTTGGTCAGAGTCCCACACTCCTCTCTGCCAACCCCAACCCAAAGGGGAGAAAACCATGGACCCAAGGGCAATTCCTTTTGGTATGGGCTTAGTCATTAGCCATGGACCCACTTTGACTACTGGCCTTCGGCTTCTTCAGTTTGAAGTGGCAAAAGTAACATGCTAATTGAATGGTTCAAAAGTGATTAGAAACTTAAGCATTCCAATGAAGCAAAAGTTGGACAAAAGAAATAGAAATGATGGTAAAGAAAGTACTTAGCTAGTGATTTTACCTTTTGGGTCACTTTGGTGCTCCTTAAATAAGACAACTATGGGTCTATGTGAGTTATTAAAAAGCCAAATTCATTGGAACAAATCTCTCCAGGCACCCTTAATTATGACCTTGACCATTGACAATCAGCTGCCCGACAAAGAAGGAAGTTCTAAAAAAGATTAAAAAAGAAAAAATGGATTAAAAAGGGAGTTGATGACCTAATCCTCCTCTCATTAAAATTATGCCTACAAACCTCCTCGAATAATCCAAACTCAAAATCGAACCTCTTTTGAATTTATTATCGAGGATACTCGATTTCAGCTTGTTCATTTGTTGATATTAGAGTAGTAATCATTGCATTATTGAGTTAATTAGAAAATTTGGGTTGAACAAAACAAAATTCTTTCTATTCTTTCCCTTGAAAGTGGGAAACTTCTTTTTTTGACTTTTTTTTCAATATTTTCACATGATTAAATGATATCATCATCATTCAAATTTAAAAGTAATATCCGATAAAATCGAATTCGTTTTAAATTCGAATATACGATATTTAAATTTTATTTATTGAGTTGAATATCTACATGTACTTATATAAAATCAACTTGTAACTTGTTATCATCTTCATTTTAATTACTATTTACTTTCAATTTTCTTATAGCAGGTTTGAATTGATTGGGCATGGGAATTTTACCTATTGATTTTTCCTTTTTCTAGAGTGTCAAGAGATACACAAGAAAAGAAGAAATAATTACAAAAGCAACTAAGGAGCTTGCAATCCACCCAACAAAAGGAATGATAATGTTCAATTTCTTGTTCCAGTGACAGACAAGCAAACTCAAGTGGCAATCCCATAAACGTTTTTCCTTAGGCTGCTGAGAAAATAATTTCGGCGTCATGGGATTCTGACGCAACTCGAATGCAGCCATTTCCAACTTTCATCACAGGGTGAAACATGGAATCCACACAAATTGGGTGAATGGTGACCCACAAATGGTTGCAGCCTTGCAGGTCCCCGTAGGACTGCACTTAGATTGGCCAATTCCACCCCCACCATTTCCCTTTTTGCTATACAGCAAATGCTGTCAAACACACTCTGAAACTTGTCTAGCTAAGCTAGCTGGTCATTCATTGCCATCAAAATTGCAATAGTTCTTTTGACAGGCTAGAGCTTGATCCAAAGGTTTTCAAAATTTTTGTGGAAAGCCTCACACTCTCATGAAACCATGTGAGGAATTCAACAAAGTCCAAAGCATCGAAATTAATAACACAAAGGGCATGATTATAGAAGGTTTAGCAGTAAAATGGTCTAGGCTTAACAGCAAAAGGTGACAACGCGAGGGCATAATTATAAAAGTATTGGGATCAACTGCCTCGAATTCACAGTCCCAAAGTCTTCTTTTTCATTAACAAGTGAATTCCCTCGATCCCAAAAGAGATTCTGGAATGTATGCTGCGACTTATATGTCTGTGGATTTGAATTTTGAATGACAGGAAAAGCAGTTCATATATAGGTTTTACTTTATAGTTTGTCAAAAGAGCTTAGCCTTTAATTTAATCCACCGAAATTCCAACCCCCAATCCCATCCTGAAACCTTACAAAAGGCGATGGAAAGAAAATATTTCTTTATCAGTTGGAAGTTTTGACCTTCATCATTCTAATTCAAGTATCAAAATCAAGTGAATAACCCATAAGGAGACTGGTTCAGGTTAGGTTCAATGGTATAACATTCATGAAACTGGCATTGTTTCTTAAACTATGGTATATAGAGTGAATTCCCTGTCATTAGGAGCTATAATTTTTCATGATTTGAAACTAAACCAACCATTCCTAAAAAAGGCCTAGCTCCTTTCATTGCTCTAGGATCTTTAACAAATATATATATATATATATATATTATGTTAACAGTAACTGTATACTCATGGGATTCACTGCTCCATATCACATTAGGTAAGATATGTTAAGCAGCATGTGAGAGTGAGCAAGCAGCTATAGAGATCCCTTTTTATCTAGTTTCGTCAAATCCAATCACGTACATAATGTCAAATAAGATACGAAATTTTAATATCATAATATCATATTAGATATAATCAAATTAAATTTTATTTTTTTATTTAAGAAGAGGTTATTATAAAATTTTACTGTGTCGTTATAATTGATAAACCATAAATTCTACTCTTGATTGCATGAGTCAATCAGTTTTGAGAGGGAGTCATATGAACATGGGGTGATTCTAGAGCATGCAAGGGTTAGTCAGGGTTATGAACAAGGAGGAGACAAAGCTTTCTTTCAAGTTCCAAGGGAGCAAGGTAGGAACAACACATCATCTGATCATGTTCTGCTGTCCCTTTTCCCACTCCAAAATGATCGGCTAATTCTCCTCTGATGTGGATTTTCAAAGAGGATAAAACCAAAGAAAAAAGAACCTCAAAAAAACAAGTTCCCCATTCATGGAATTTTGAAAATTGGGAGCCGAAAGACTACTGGTTTATTCATTCAGCTCCAGTCAACCTTTTTTGGCCCATTGTTATTAAAGCAAGACGAAAGAATAATAATAAACAAATTTCAACAACCTTCCTGTTTCAATAGTCGGCCACACTTTCAGTTGAATATGCCATAATTTTCTTTCATTAGCTTGATTCTTCGGGTCTAAAAAAAAATATATGCCAAAACGCCATTGATGAACCAATCAAAGTCAATTTTCTTTCCCTTCCCTTTTGGGCAGGGAATTTAAGAGGGGCGGTGTTGTGGCTCTTGTGAAGGTCTTTTCCACCAATTTACTAGTTGCCAACAAAACCACGAGCTAAAGTCACATGCAATTGCAATGGCGATAAATAAATCCGAAGAACGTTGTATCTTAAACATTTGATTTACTGACAGTGCATCGAAATATAAATTTATATACAAATTCCGTATATAAACTTGCATCTCTAATTTTCTATATTCGATTTTCTTGCATTTTGACCTTTGGTAGTTGAAGAAGCCTTTGTTTTTTTTTCTTTCTTTCCACGATGTTGAAATGGGAAGAAAAGGACCTGCAGGCACTTGGTAGGAAAACAACGTGACATTCGTTCTCTCTCAGTCGACAAATCAGAGGTCGGTGGGTCGCTTTTGTTTTCCAGATTAAAAGAACTTGTTTGTCAAAAAGTTGAAAACCATTAGACCTCTCTCCACCTCCCCCATCTCCCCTCCCTTCTCTAC